CCTTGTTTTGATGATGAACTTTCACCATTGGCAGTAATCATGCGAATGGGATTGTTGGAATAATATCCATAGTCATCCGGCAATTCACTATCATTGACAAGATCTTGAGCACTCCCCGTATCTGCAATCCAGTCAAGTTCGAGGTTGATCGCTCCCTTCACGTCTTCTCTACATTCCGCAGGGGTGGCTTTGATTCCCTTTGGGATACATTCATTGCAACCAAAATCTGTGTCACATAAATAGGCACATTTGCATTCAATTCCTCGAAGACAGTTGGAAACAGATCCCGCTAACATGGTACCGGTCAAAGCGGCATCATTTACAGCAAGTTGATCAACTTCAAACTGATGTCCCCATGGAAAGGTAACCTTATCCTTGGTGACTGCGTTTCCAATTGGCCTCAAGTTCCCTCGGACTTTAACATGAGATACGTCCGGCGAATCATCAAAACGAATCGATGGACAAAATACTCTTGGTTGAGGGATACAAAATGCCTGAGACACGGATGCAAGCATGGATGCAACAAGACAAACTGCGGCAGGAGACGGCTTAGATGAACTGGCCCCGGATCCTTTAGACTTCGGGGATTTCGGGCTCTTGGGGCTCTTAGAGCGGCTAGAGCTTCGGGATCCCTTCCTTTTCGGGTTCTTGGGATTTCTCTTTTTATTTTTGCTTTCGCTACTGGCCGAACGGGCAGGAGTAGCTTGTCTTGGTTTTCCCACTGAACCCTCATGAAGGAATTTACAGTCAGCCCCTCTATCGCAACGTCCCTGTTTCCAAAACTTGCAAATTTTCTTACCTTTCCCCTTTGGTCTGGGAGAACCAGAACGTTCATTTGAGCGACCTCTGGTTTTGCTGGGTTTGCGACTTCTATCACGTGGCTTGGGGACTTCATGCTTGTAAGTACAGTTGTCCTTGCTACAGCCTCCCTTATTCCATGCCACACAATACCCCTTGGGGATGAATCCTGTCTTGCCCTCGACTGCGGGAGCGGAGGGACGACCGGAACCCGAAAGACCTTTGGCAACTCGATCACGATTTGCCTCCAACCTCTCACGGTCAAGGTGGCGTCGCACAGCAGAAACAAGGAAACTGTAGTTCCGTTTTTCGGTTCCTTCATCAGCTCTATGATACTCATTCATGTCATGTTGGATGGCCTTACAATTCTTCACTTGTTTGTAGAAGAGTGTCTCCAATACACTTACATCAGGAGTCTGGACGATACCAGCCAATACTTGATCCCAGTTCGAAATGAAAGACTTCAAATTCTCCCCACGCAATTGGACACCGAACAAATCTTGAAGGGCATAGGTTGCTCCGTGCTTGATGTTGGTACTAAAGTGGTCATGCAACATGAACAACACTTGTCTCCCTCTTACAATTCGTCCAGCGGTGGCTTCAGTCTCTTTGAAGGTGTCTACCTTGCGGGCGAAGTCACCAGTGATAATCTTGACTTTTCTTAGCCCACGCGGCACAGCCACAACAGCCAGATAGAATGTCAGAATATGTGTCAGAATATGTGTCAATATCAGATAGAATGTCAGACTTGGTGGGGATCACTTGATAGAATGTCAGACGTGGTGGGGATCACTTGAAGGCGAGGACCTACTCATTGATGACGACACGATGATGACCACAAACACTGAGATGATGATGATGATGATGATGATGATGACGACAGAAAAGGGGGAAGTAGAGGATGGCATGATGACGACATGAGGGGGGTGTATCTTGTAATATGAGATATAGAATTATAGAATGCCTATATATGCCATGTTGGTTTTCTTCTTTTGTGGTAGGTTGTCTTCCTGCCTCTGGCCAAGGCCACTCAAGGAAGATATTGTTGGAGATGGCAAGTCGCCTAAAGGGATTTTAGGAGACCTTCGGTTGTTTTACCAAAGAAAATCCACATTTCCAACATGTTGGAAAGAAAAGGCAATCAACATGTGTAAAACTTTTGTGCCAAACACCAAGTTTCAGAACGGCAGGAAAAGGCGACTTCCCACAAGATTATTTCTCAAGCATTTCGATCATCCCGTTAGATTTTTCCTTTCGCTCTGTGCAATGGCTCGTCCAAAGGTTATGAAAAATTCTAAGAGCAAGAAATTTACGACATGTATGAAGGCTGCAAAGAAGAAGTGCATGAAGTGTATGAAGGCTGGAAAAGTTCAAGGAAACAAACTTGGACAAGCAGAAGCTTTACACGGACCCCTCTGGAATCAGTGGAGACAGCACGTTCTCAAAACTGGTCCTACGTGGCTATTCGTTGTGATTTCCTTGACCCACATGCTCTGCTGTCGCGTGACAGAAATCTTGAAGCTAACAGGGGACGACTTCAGTTTTCGTCACCGCTTTGTGAGGATTAAACCATTGAAGCGTCAGCCAGAGGCTGGGGAGAAAAAACAATAAGTTATCATATTTGTTTTTTTAATGGCACCACCCAAAAAACAGTCTCATATGGTGATTCCATTTTCTTAAAACCCTTTGGAATGTCCTATTGTCAAATTCAACCTCGTTTTCGCTTCACTTCAAAGCCCAAACCTGAAGGTGAAGAAGTGCCTGTTAGCACCTGTGCTTTCCAAATTGCAAGATTTGAAGAACAAGGGGGTCAAACGCACCCGGACTAGGAATTGCGGAACACGAGGAACTGTGACATTTGTTGATCAATGGAACTGGCCCATAAACGGCACATATCTTTTTCCTTCTGGAAGACATGGTGGCCATTTGAAGAAGGATTCTGTGTGCCACAGCATTGTCAAAGCAAGGAAATCATTTGAATGTGATGTTGCTGATACTAGCAAAGTGAGAAGTCACAGTGGCCGGCACAGAATGATTAACGACTTAAAATCAGCATTCATTCCACCTGATGCTGGAATGATGTTCGCAAGAATCCGTGATAAAAAAACTTGGGCATCCTATGGGCAACTTAGTTCAGCCCAATGTCGTGATGTGCTGCAGAAAAACAAGGATTTGCAGAACAGATTGAAAAAGCTGTATCAATGAACACTCGGACTTGCAACTCGCTGGAGAAAGGAAACACCGCGGGTTTTGGATTTGCAGTCGCTGAGAGAACCAGAGATGTCTATTTTTTCAGGGTTTATTGGGGACAATACACATATGTTTTGCTCCAAAAATATCGGTAATATGTTATACAAGATTTACACGCATATATATATATATATATATACTTGTATGCACATGTATGCACCTACAAAATGACACCTAGCACCAGGCATTTGGTCAGAGCCTTCTCTTTTTCTTCCCACCAGCATCTATGGTCGGCTGTTGTCACTAGACTAGTAGCCAATGGCTTCCAAGAGTATGTCCAACAGACACTTCACAACATTCAATGTAAATGCATTCCCTGCCATCTGGCTGATGGTTCCGACAGGGAGAGAATCAATCTCGACAGGCAAATCGATTGGCAAAATGCCTTGCCCTGCAAGCAATTCCACTGGCTTCGCAAAATCATTCTTGGAAACTATCCAAAGGCCTGCTGCGTGGCTCTTCGTGATGGTTGGAAAACGGTCAAAGGTGAAATGGACACCACGGCTTGAACTATTCTGGCAATCAACTACCCAGGGCTTTTTCTTCCAAGACGCATCGCCTTTTTTTGAAATCTTTTGAAATGCGCCAGCCAAGTTTCTCAGGCATGTCGTACTCAATGACCTGATATCTTTTTCTTCATCTTTTCTCCTTGGCACCAGAATGCTACTCAATGATGCCTTGGGCAAAGGCTTGGGCCATTGCCATGGTTGGCAAAGTTTGCCTTTCAAAACTCCGACGATATACACCCGGCACCTTGTGGCTGGGACTCCGTATTCATAGCTGTCAAGCACCTGCCAATCAACAAAATAGGCTCCACCACCTATTTTCACACAGAAGTCCAGGATCTCTCGAAACGTTTCTCGGTATTTCTGGTCACAGGCTAGGTCTTTCACATTTTCCAGCAGCCAGATCTCTGGCAACAGCATTGCAATTGTCAACAGGATATCCCATATCACTGCAGCTCTCTCATCAGACATAGCCAGCCCCAATCCAGCCCTACTAAAGGGCTGACAAGGAAATCCTGCTGTGTATACCATTGCCTTGGTGGAATTCCTGGATGATTTGCGTTCTTTCTGCAAATCATTGAGTGGCTTTCTTTGTGCATCTGAAAAAACATTCTCACAAGTGGGGTGCAGTGTGGAGAAAACTCGCCTGTATGGCTCGTGACTCTCTGACCCAAACCAGTGTCTAAATTCCGATGATAACCTCTTCAAAGCGAATGCCCCGGCATCAAGACCAGAGCAGTCTGAGCCATACCATAGTCCAGACCAGCTGACGGGCTTCTTGCAAGGAATTTGTTGCTCTGAAGGATGTGGCCTTTGGCAAGGACCTTCATCGGAAGCAAGCTCTTTCCGCTTCCTCAAAGTTGAAGCACTCGACGCCATCAATCATGTGGCGATCCGAAACATATGAAACTTACTTGATACGAAAGGTTCTGTCATTGTACAATGGATGCTGCAGAACCCTAAACCATCAGCAAAAAAAGACAGCCTCTGTCAATAATGTCAAGTCTCAAAAAAACACTCCGGCATACGAAAGATTCAGTCATGATACAATAGATGCTGCCCAGAACCCCAAACCACAAGCAAAAAACGACAGCCTCAATGTCAAGTCTCAAAAAAAACTTTTTGGCCACTTCAGCATATCGGATGTATAATGCCAGCACACTCATATCAAATACCAGATGCACAACATCGGCCACACACAATCTCGGAGATAAAATAAAAGTCAGAGTGGCAATTCTGGAGCAATTAGCATTTTGCCCTCTCACGCTCGTGCATTCAGGTGAATGCTTGTTCCTGATCCTCCACTAAGGCCTGCAGTCTCATCTTCTCTGCTGGCTTGTGGCAATCTAACAGATCATCAAATGACCATTTTGATCGTGATGGCTCTCTGAAAACCCTGTACAACATCCAGAAGAGCAATTAAGTGCTATTTTAGCATATCACTCCTCAGTCCTCAGTGCCTGCTCCATCAGCCCCACCAGCCGCCCCTTCCTCGTCATCTGCCGCTGCCTGGATCGCTCGAAGCAATGCCTCACGTGCATCACCTCCTCCACTGCCACTAGGCTGTGGGCCAACTGGCTGGTTGCCACGCCCACGCCCACGTCCTCGGCGGCCACCTCGACCGCCGCGACCACGGCCTCCCCGACCACGGTCTGGACCATTCTCATTTCCATTGCTGCCACTGCCAGGATTCACGGGATCTGGCTGGATGTCATGCCCATCCGTAGCTGCCACATTCTTCAAGTGCTCAGAGAAGGCGGCATCATAAAGCTTGTCGTTGGCATTGCACATGCCCATGACAGTCTGTGATGTCAGCCTCTTCATGATTTCATCCTTGTGGGTTTGACTCAGGCAAACACCAGTGTATGGTGTCCTGTTGCGGACGCACTGCAGTGCCCAAGATCCTGCACCAGGCGACAAATCAATGCAAGCCACTGCTTGCAAGTAGTGCAAGGCTTCCATAGCCACCTCAGGAGGGCCTTCGTGATAGAAGACCGGAATCATATCCACATGCCTCGGTGGAGCCTCTGCATCATGTTCTACCGGACATTGTCCCCCAGGCAAAGGAAGATTTCCATCTCCCAAGATTTCTTTCTTCAACTTGTAGGGAACGCACCAGGTCCTCGAGGTGTCAGACCAATCCAACTTGTCCAGCGGCCCCACCACATTGCCTCTGGTGTTTCCGGAGGTCACAAGACGTGGCTGCACCTGCAGGGCAGTGGATGAAAATATGTTCAAAAAACATTAAATTTAAAAAGTGACCATAAACAACTATACATATGATGGGGTTAAGTTGGGATAAAGGTATGTGTGGGATTAATCTCTAATACCATTTATAAGGGGGTTAGCTAATATGCTAAACTCAAACAACATCATACCGTAACATACATACTTTTTGTTCAGTCACCTAGCCTTCACAGCCACTGGCACATTCCCAGCAGTGATGTAGGACAAATTCTCCGTGAGATCAAGGGGCCCCTTAGAAGCCCTCTCCATCCTCTTCTCCACGGAGCTGTGGTTGAAGAAGACAATGTGCTTGGTGACGGCGTACTTCTTCCCAGGGAGATGTTTCACAATGTGCTTCTCCTCCCAATCACCGTTCTTGCCACCGTCAAGCCCGACGATGACATCAGCATCATCAAGCTCACCATCAGCCCTGCTGCTCAAAAAGGCTCCGACCAGTCTCTTCACTTGTGGTGCCCTCGTAGGGGGCAAGCGCCATTTGGCTTGCGATCCACTCTCACACAAGACCTTGGCATCCAAGACAATAGCGACATGCTGATGTGAGTCACAGTCGCCTTTGATCATTGCAGCAGGTGATTCCTTAATCTCCTTGACCATCTGAGCCTCACCCCCTGCTCCCTCATCCACCACCAAAGTCACCAAGCTCTGGACGCGCTTCTCAGCTGTCAAAATGCCAGCATGGATGCGTGTGTATGCTTCTGACTCACGCTGGTCAGGTGAAGCTGCCAAAAGCACCTGTTCTGCTTGGGATAGATTGGCAGCTTGACTCGCACTGTCAAGCACCAAGGAGGCCTGCTGCAAAAGCTCAGAAGGCTGCAGTTCTGGTTCCTCTTGACCATTCTCCTTGTCGTAGTTCTTCTTCACGGTGTCCCAGTAATGCCTGTAGCGGTGGCTGGGATCAGAATTGACCTACCACCATGCCTATCATCATGCGTTGCATGATCAACACCTGATGTTGCCCATTTTTTATTTTTACATAATGTATTTTAAATATGTGATCTGCAGTGCCTTAAAAGCTTGCTCTAAATTGTTCTACATGCCCCTGGTCCGGCCTGATGTCCTTGTGCATCAAGATGTCATCGATGCCTCGGTGGTTCTTCAGCTGCTGCTTGAAGAGATCATCGTGCACGTAGTCGTACACCAGAACCTCAAACATGATCAGGTATGCATCGGCAGAAGCAGGCCAGGAGCCACGAGCATGGTAGTTCTTGCTGGTGCCCTTGTCACTGAAGTAGCCCAAGGTTTCCCGACATGTCTGCAAACTGTCGGTGACTTTGCGAATCTCCCCACGGATTTCGGAATCCCACAGGTTGAAGACAGCGTCCATCTCCTTCCAAAGGTAGTCCCTGAGCTGGCGCTTGAACAGGGCCAACTTCACCAGGGAATAGTTTTCACCTCCGTCTTTCAGCTCTCTGTAGGGAATCTTCTCTTTCCCATCAGTGTGCAACCATTGGTCCGCTAGCATGGAAAAGGACCAAATCTGCAGCTGCGGTTTCTTCTCGCAAAGAATGCAGATTTCTCGCAGCTTCGCTGGGGAGTCCAATGGGTTCACCTCCATCTCATCCAAGCCCATGAGAATTGTCACAACCTCTGGGATGTTCAAACAAGAGGATGACAACATCGAAGCGATGTCAAGGAAGGAATTTGTGACAGGCTCCGAAGTCTTGGCCATTTTGACCTTGGAGTAGTATTCCAAGACAGCTTTGTTGTTCTTGCCTCCGATTCGTCGTTTCACGTCCATGACTTCATACACCCTCATCAATGCTGTGGTCCCCATGTTGTCCCGCTTGACAACCAGATCTTCACGAGCCTGCACCACTGTCTGAAAGACAGTCTCAATCGGAGTGTCGCTCTCGTGCACCTCACAGGGAAAGGGCATATACATATACCGGCCTACCGACCTAACCTACCAACCAACCTACCTACCTCCTAACCTCCTACCTTCTTACATACTTACTTTACATACTGCCTGCCTGTCTGTCTGCCTGTCTGTCGGTTTCTGACGGAATTGGGGCAGTCTCGGCACATCTCGGCACGGAAGTTGGGTGGTCTCATGACGGGTTTTCGGTGGTCTCATGACGGAAATTGGGTGGTCTCATGACGGAAATTGTGTGGCTTATCTATCTTATCTATCTTATCTATCTTATCTATCTTATCTATCTTATCTATCTTATCTATCTTATCTATCTATCTATCTATCTATCTCTCTCTCTCTCTCTCTCTCTCTGCCTGTCTGTCTGTCGGTTTGTGACGGAATTGGGGCGGTCTCATGACGGACTTTCGGTCTCATGACGGACTTTCGGTCTCATGACGGACTTTCGGTCTCTACTACCGACTTGCCTGCCTCCTACTACCGACTTGCCTGCCTGCCTGCCTGCCTACCTACCTACTTACCTACCTACCTACCTACCCACCTACCTACCTACCTCCTAACCTCCTACCTTCTTACGTACTTACAACATATTTACATACTTACATACTTACATACTTGCATACTTACATACTTACATACCTACATGCAAGATGCATACATATGGATAATTTCATATATTAAATAGATATTATTGTCTGAGTATATGGCTGGAATAGTTTTGTGAGGGGAGGGGGCTATTAGTGAGTCCCATGGCTCCGGTGCGGCTCAGCTGCTGACCTGAACTAACCTGAACTAACCTTATGTGATCTCTCTGCAATGTTTCCAGGGGCACCGGACCCCACCTCAAAGCGAAGTGGGATGGCCAGCAAGGCATCCTTCCAGGACTGTTTGTCCTTTCTGCTGAGATTGGGGTCATCCAGCGCCTCAGCTGCAGCCATGCGGAGGGCGTCACGCATCTCCGTCAAGTCTGTGGCTTGAAGGGTCCCAATCATCTTGTGGGGTAAATCTCCTGGACTGAGACGCACCAATGTTTCCTGGGTCAAATGATTGGGTTGGCCAAAGAAATGGTTCTTCAGGTTCTCCAAGCGCTTGCGGTACTTGGGAACATTGGGCTGTAAGTCAAACCCGGTGTTCAGCCAAAAGAGAGGGGCAACACAGGTGTAGGTCTTGTGGCCACTCAACATCCGTGTGGCGGTAACAGAATCATAGAAAGGGAGCCCTGTCTCCGAATGGGTTTGACCGGGCAAATTCATGATGTCCTTCCAGGCGTTCTTGATCTTGGCATCACATTCTCCTAGGTAAGCCTGAAGTTTGGCATTGATGGCACAAGTGGAAGTGGAGTTTTCCGCTTGGACCAAGGCAACCTGGTCTTTGACCTTGACAGCACGCTTCACGACTGCCTTAGCAGCAGCTTCATCCACGTGCTTCCTCTTAGCAGGCATGGGGGCAGACTGAAATCTACTTACTGTGTACGGCTTTTGGTAGCTTAGCAATCAGCCAAAATGCGCTGGCCAGGCACAACGTGTTGATGTTCAAATCAGGTAGCTGGTCACTGAGGTAAACGCAACTCACTAATTCAGACCTGGACGTCCGGGTCCGAACGATGAAATTTGAACTAGCGCTTTGATAAAAACAAACAAGTGAAGCTCTTGAGAAATCCTTTCAGCAATCAACAGCGCAGGAATCTCATCTTCAAGCCATCGGGCCTGGACGTCCAGGCCTGAAGGAATACTTTGAGGTAGGTGGTTTGTGGTACTTCGGTTGGGTTTGATTTTAAAACCATAATGTTTTTCTTAAGGTTCATGACCAATTGTCAGCTGACAGCTTGCAAATCTGAAAAGTTGACAAGAACCAGACTCACTCCATTTTGTGGTCACGCATTCACCTGAAGCCTTCCCCAGCATGTCTATCAGGCAACATTCTGTACAGGTTGGAAATCTTCTGCTAGGCGGCCACCCCGTGTCAGTATGGCCATTTACATTCAGAACTACGTACTCAGCTAATACATGTCTCAAATTAGTCATACAATCATATTCGATCATGCGTGGTGGATTCATTAAAGATACATTGATAATCAAAACACAATAATTAAAGATACATTCGTTCATCAAACGATACATTGCCAGACTATGCCATACATATGCCACACTGTTTTCTGGGAACGTTGTTGGTTCCCTATGAAGGTGACAGCTTGGGCAAACTGGATCAAGGTACACGGCCTTGAGTTGAGGTGGGGATCATCTGACTCATCTGACGCCACTGAAAAATAGCAATGGGGGTCATCATATAATAGCAATTAAATGTATATATATAAGTTGCATCACCTTTGGAGAACCGTTGATGGTACAGTTGGTTTTTACCACGATTTTCAATGAGTCTGATAAGTCCGATGAGTTGAATTTTGATAATGAGTCAGGGGAAATCTGTGCCAAACGCTCCGCGCTGAGAAAGAATGGGAATCATACAAATGTTGTTTCTGTAAAACATCGTATGATACCAATGGAAATTATACAAAACAAGTCCAAAATCAGCATTGTTTTTTAAACATCGTTTGATTCCCTTACATTGGGTCTCTGAGCCCTCAGCAGTGCTGGAACGTATCGCTTTTGGGGATGTTGCGCTTCCACCAGGTCCCCAAACCAGATTTTTTTTCAAACCGTCGTATGCTACCATAGGAATCATCCAAACAGGTCCCCAATCAGTATTGTTTCTGAAAAACATCGTATGATACCAATGGAAATGGCCATACTGGTTGCAGGCTATTTTATAGTCATTGGGAATCTTCCATGCATCAAGCTCTATGAAAATCATTGAAATTTGACATCATTTGTTTCTGGACAAGTCCCCAACCAATAATATTTTCAACATCGTATCATACAAACAAGTTCCCAAAATAATGGAAATCAGTTTTTTTCAACATCGTATGGAAATCAGTTTTTTTTCAATCAATGGAAATTATACAAAACAAGTCCCCAATCGTTTGGAGCCCGTCCGTGGCGTCCCCAGCAGGTGGCAGGCTCAGCAGTGCTGGCGGGTGGACTTCCTAGATCTGCCCAACAACTACATTACATTAACGGTATGGGCCATAGGTGTGAGTCCGGTGAATCCCTCCCAGCATACCGGGCAATGGGATATAACAATGGGAAATAACAATTTGGTATATCTAAGAATGGGATGAAATAATAATGGGATCTAATAATGGGAAATAACAATGGGATGTAACAATTGGAAATAACAATGTGGTACATCTAAGAATGGGATATAACAATGGGACATAACAATGGGAAATAATAATGTGGTATATCTAAGAATGGGATATGACAATCGGATATAACAATGGGAAATAATAATGGGAAAATAAAATGGGATATAATAGGAAAGGGAGATAACAATTGGAAATAACAATGTGGTATATCTAAGAATGGGATATAACAATGGGAAATAACAATGTGGTATATCTAAGAATGGGATATAACAATGGGAGATAACAATGGGAAATGACAATTTGGTATATCTAAGAATGGGATATAACAATGGGAGATAACAATGTGGTATATCTAAGAATGGGATATGACGATCGGATATAACAATGGGAAATAACAATGGGAAAGTACAATGGGATATAGTAGGAATGGGATGTAAGAATGGGATAAAATAAGAATGGGATCTAATAATGGGAAATAACAATGGGATATAACACTGGGCAATAACATGGGATGTGACAATGGAATACAACAATGGGATATAACTATCGGCAACATCCAATTTCTAGGGAACAGCATCTAAGATTATCAACATCTATTTCTAAGATTTTTTGATTGGGAAACATTTCAGCGCCCACATCCGACCATCACAGATTGATCCGGACGGATCTTCGCAGCAAAGTTGGCAGCTTCTGCCAATGTGAACTTGTTTGGCACCATATTCCAGGCCTGTGTGGTGTTGGGACTCCGAAAACGGGTGAAACAAGTGATTGGTAGGACCCTGAGAGTCGAGCTGAGAAAGTTCCATGTGGGAATATCATTTAAAACCTTCACTGAACATCATGGCACCTTTATGGAGCAGGACTTCCGATGGGATGCCAAAGGTGACCCCCGAACAATAAGGGGGTCATCTTTTGGGGTTGAAACATGTTGAGCTGTAGATACATTTTCAAAAATGAAATTTACGTCATACATTTGTTTGGTTTCAATGGAATAACTAGTGAATCAATCATCAACCGATATTTTGGGCGCTCATTTGGTTTCCTGTCTCACACGGGTCATTTTGAACCCAAAAGAAAGAACATATTTTCCAATTTGTTTTCACGTTTTCCTGGGGTCCAATGTGATTTTCCTGGGGCCCAATCTCCAAGAGCCTGGTCTGCTTTGTCTGCTTCCGTGCAGAGAAGGATTGCTTGGCTCCGAGCCGAACCAGTAGCACGAGTCCGAAGATGCTCCGGATCCCGGGCCAAAAGCCACTTGCTTTCAGGGAAGTGGTGCATCCTCAGGGCTCAGTTTGTTTGTGAGGTACAAACGTGTTTGTGAGGTACAAACTTGTTTTAAAAGACATTAATCTTATATATTTGTTACAAAAATCTACTGGACCATCTTGAACCAAGTTCCTTTCAATCGTAGTGTGTGCTAATCTGCCATGGGCTTGGATGAAACCGTCCGTCATCCATAAAAGGCGTTGGGATTTCAAAGCTGCATGGTATGTAATGCAAGGCCCAGATCCAGAGATCACAAAGTCAGGCCCACAGACTATACCACCACACAAACCTGCATTCCACGACACAGATGCGGGGATGTTCTGCAGGCTCTTCAAGACGAACACAGCTGCGTCCTGCAGGGCCAAAGAATGGTTTGGTTACAATACACTCATGTGTGCTGTTCTTTTGGGTAAAATGAATCTCTGGAATCATATCAAAAAAAAGGTCCACCCACTCCTTTATGTTGGCTGCTTGTAAGCCCTTGGCCACACAGCTGTTGGCAAATTGAACGCATTGTAGAATCTCTGGGTTGTCGACATACATAGATTTGTGCATGATACTCGGAAGATTGGGCATATCTCTCATCTTCCTCCTCTTGTTTGCAGTAGCAAGATATTTGATATCATTTTCCCTTTTCCGCCTCACCGCCTCCAGAACCAACTCCAGCTCCGCAGTTGGGACCGAGCTGAGGGCATCGTGTCGTCCAGCACAAACCTCTTCAGCCAAACGCATGACCCCCTTTGCCTTCCAGGAGCTGTGGTCGGAAAAGGGATGTGATGCATATTTGTGGGAAATGTTTTCAAAACAGAATGTATGATATGTATGTTTGATAACATGCTGGCCTCTTGGAATGCCAACTCTTTTTGATGTCTTTCAGTCCAGAGTGCCCCATCAGGATCAATGGTAGCAACAGAGCTGCCAGATTTGCAGCGAACAGCTTCCCGGCGCTGTTCAACCCAATTGGCCATGGATGGCTTACCCCCTGATTGTTTGGCCTTGGGACGGCCACTGTCAGATCTCTTCATGCGACAGCTACTTCCTGACACCCTCACAACACCATAAAATTGCCCCCATAATTCAGCAGCACGTTCGATCACTTTGCCGGAGTCAGCGGCAATGATGTCAAGCACCTGTGGCAAGTTTCCAACATCGAGTTGGGGTACCCATGAGTGGTTCGAAAACATATTAGTATGCTACATATTTGTATATGTATATATATATAGAGTTATTTCTTATCTGTATGATACATGTTTACATATATCTTAAATACAAAGTATATATATATATACACTAGTGTTTAAATATACATATATTACTCTATAGCACTAAAAAAGTAATATATATATAAATTAAACATGTAAATAGCCCAAAAATTGAGATATATGTCATTTGTAATATGCCTCTGCAGTTGGAATGTTGTTCTTCAATAGCAACCTCACCGGAAAAAACCTGATCACCCTTGCCTCCATCACGTCGTTGCAGTGACCATTCAGTTGCAAGCCATCACACAATGACCGGGCACGTGAGAACGACTGCTCTACACCGGAAGTGGATGCACCAGCAGCCCAAAATCGAACCAGCACTGGAAGCAAAACGTCCCTTCTAGGACCTGTCCGTAGCCGAGAGAGATCTTGAAAAGCTTTTCTCCAAGAGTCAACGGATGACAGCCCTTCATCCACACAAATCCTCCGGGCCACATGCCAAACTCTTTGAAACTCTTCCCCTGCTACGTCATTGTCTGGTTCTTGAAATGCTCGAAGCAGCCTTGAAAGACAATTTGTCCTCAAAACCCTGTCTGGGGGATTCCCTTCAACATCTTTCACATTGAAAATGCTGAAGGCCTGCTGAGTCTCGAAGTGAGGAAATTCTGCACGGATGGTGGCTTCACACAAAGTCACCCAATGTGCCATGCGGCCCAGGCATGCTGCAATATCAAACTGGGAAGGCGCTCCAATTGTGTTGGTCAACTGTCGGCCTCCAGGCCCAGGAAATACTAAAATCATTGGGTTCTTCAACCAGTTCAGCATGATTTCAGTGCAACCTGTGCTCAAACAAATGGCTGGAGCACCTTTGAAGAGCGCACGAAGACGATCACGAAACCCCACAAGTTTTGCTGGCAATTCTTCAAGAGGGAAGCCCTGCCAATCAACGAGGCGAGTAAGATCCAAATTCTCTATGGCGGCGTCGGCCAGCATTCCCAGTTGAACAATGCGCTCTGGCGTCAGCCATTCCAAGAAGCTGCTTGCAGATTTTCCTGCAGGCTCAGACTGGCGTTCCTGTGCTATTTGCACCACTGTTGCAATGAAGGCCGGCCACAGCAACACAATTCGTGTCATTGGCTTGCTGGCTGACTCGAATCTGTGGGCTGCAAAGCCCAAATCTTTCACATGTTGCTGAATCTTGACAGCTGAAGTTCCAGGATTGATCCGGTGAATGTTCGCTGCAAACAGTCCTTGAAACACATTGCTGTTTTGTATCAATCTGGTGGGAGAATCCTTTGCAAAAATGAACCTGAAGGAAACCTCTTGCAGAAAAACATCAGCCTTCCATCCCCTGGAAAGGTTGCGCCTGGTGGCGTGAGGTTTGTCACGGACTACGATCTTCAAGCCTGTGAATCTTGGCAGGTACATATCTGTGGTACTTTGTCCTGCCAGCATGTGGCCCGCACGCACTTCGTCACTAGCAGCATCTGATACAAATGTCTCGATAGAACCCTTGACAGCCTTGTACAAGTTTTGGTCCATCTGAGGATTGTGTGCCCTGTCAAGGTGGGGTGGACACAAGCAAGGAGTGCAAAATGATTTGAGGATTGCATCAAAACCATTCATCAAACCAACAGCATCCAGGCTGAATAGCTTTGCAACATCTATTGTTCCAAGGTGACCCAACCACCGCTCGGCTCTGGAATTTGCAGCAGTACAGCGGACACTCAGGATGCCATTCCGTGTGTCTTGGAAAACTGTAGTGGAGCAAAGCAGCGTTTCATTTTTTTGGGCTACCCAATGCTGTCGCTTCAAATGACGGCTTGCCTCTGCGAGACACCAAAGCATTTTCCTGCATTTCTTTTGGGCCCCCACAGTGCTGATCCCATCCCCAATTGGATACTTCTTTGCATGTTCCAACAGCCTCCTGAACTGCTGAGTTGAAGGCGCAGACTGAGGCAGCCCATCAACTGACTGCGCAATTTGACCTACTGCCCGGCAGTGTGCATCTGACTTTTCATGGCCATCCAAAGCCCTTCGTTGGATTGATGCATAAGCTGTAACCTTGCAAGATGCCCACACGCCACCTTGACAATCAGCTTTCTTTGATCCAGTGGCATGAAAAAACTTGCGACACGCACTGCATCCCAAACCAAATGGACTTGACTAAGGGAAACTTCAAGCCATGGGTATTCATCTCGAAGCTCAACTTGATGGCGAGAGAAGAAGCATTCTGGACAGCGCTTCGTGACACATTCATGGGAAATTGGTGGCATTGCTGCTTCAAACCAAAATGGCGACTCATGGCGCATTAAAATGCCGCCCTGCCCCCCCACTGCAAAAAAAGAAATAAATGGCTTCCAATCTTCAAACAAACTGTGGAGTCACTCAGCGACTCTTTTAAAACTTGACTGGTTCAAACTGAGTTACAAATAATCATCAGGATCCTTTCAAATCCATCGGGTCAGCAACCGTTCTTCCAAACCCTACAACATCCTACACGCTTAAGAATTGGGAAAACAAGTAGATAGAAAGATAGAAAGATAGATAGATAGATAGGTAGATAAATAGATAGGTAGATAGATAGATAGATAATAGTTAGATAAATAGATAGTTAGATAGTTAGATAGTTAGATAGTTAGATAGTTCGATAGATAGATAGATAGATAGATAGATAGAGAGAGAGAGAGAGAGAGATAGATAGATAGATAGATAGACAGATAGATAGATAGATAGACAGATAGACAGATAGACAGATAGATAGACAGATAGATAGATAGATAGATAGATAGAGAGATAGACAGATAGAGATAGAGAGAGAGAGAGAGATAGAGAGAGATAGAGAGAGAGAGAGAGATAGAGAGAGATAGAGAGATAGAGAGATAGAGAGATAGAGAGATAGAGAGATAGAGAGATAGAGAGATAGAGAGATAGAGAGATAATAGATAGATAGATAGATAGATAGAGAGAGATAGATAGATAGATAGATAGACAGAGAGATAGATAGGTAGATAGATAGATAGATAGATAGATAGAGAGATAGATAGATAGATAGATAGAAAGATAGATAGATGGATGGATGGATGGATGGATGGATAGATAGATAGATATATAATGTATATGTATATGTATATGCATATAAATATGTTTAAAACATACTTTAACATGATCTAGCTATATTTGTTAGGCACATATACATATATATGTGTCCATTTGCCTACAGCTTACTTATTTACTGCTCTGCCAGTCGGCTGGCTGATACTGAAATGATCACTGGCTGATCATGGTGCAATAAGAACACTGAACTTGGCGTCAGCTTATTTATACATCAATACAACACCGTGTTTCTAGCACAACCAGCGTTGCGAGAAGGAAAAGGCGACTTCCCACCATCAAGTTCTTTGGTAAAACAACCGAAGGTCTCCTAAAATCCCTTTAGGCGACTTGCCATCTCCAACAATATCTTCCTTGAGTGGCCTTGGCCAGAGGCAGGAAGACGACCTACCACAAAAGAAGAAAACCAACATGGCATATATAGGCATTCTATAATTCTATATCTCATATTACAAGATACACCCCCCTCATGTCGTCATCATGCCATCCTCTACTTCCCCCTTTTCTGTCGTCATCATCATCATCATCATCATCATCATCTCAGTGTTTGTGGTCATCATCGTGTCGTCATCAATGAGTAGGTCCTCGCCTTCAAGTGATCCCCACCAAGTCTGACATTCTATCAAGTGATCCCCACCAAGTCTGACATTCTATCTGATATTGACACATATTCTGACACATATTCTGACATTCTATCTGGCTGTTGTGGCTGTGCCGCGTGGGCTAAGAAAAGTCAAGTAATATTGGTGAGTGCAGAAAGTAACTTTGCATCAAGTGTCGCAAACGGCGCAACCTTCCGGAGCGCTTCAAGAGTCTGATCTTCTTTCCAAGAATCACTAACCCACTTGAAAGCACTGTCGGGATCGGTTGATGCTGCTACAACTGCCTCTCTGGTCTTGATTCTCCAATTACGGTAGGTTTCCGCCAATGGGAATGCTGGGATTTTGATAGTGTCAGCTTCCTTGACTTTGGGTTTATCGTCATGCCTTTGGTCAACGTAACCACCAAGAAATTTGATCATTCTTCGCCTGAACTTTTCATCATCGTCATCATCGGGATCATCATAACCGTCATCACCACCGTCGGGGGGGTTTGGATCATTCCCTTTCTTTTTGGGAATCTTACGACCCTTATTTCCCTCCGGCTTGTCATCAGGTGGTGAGGGTGGTCCACCTCCCCCGTTCCCTCCGTTGCCATCTCCTCCATCCCCAGGATCGTCACCATCTGGCAGATCGTCTTCCCCCGGCTCGAAGTAGTCCACTTCATCTGGGCCTAGTTCGGTCGGGGCATATTGATTTGTCGGAGCAGGGGAATTGACGTTATCCGTGGGATGGTTGTCTCGGCGTCGATTATTGGCCTCTCCTCCCGAAGGGCGTTCCTCAGCGGAAGACCTTGCAACATCCGACTCCTTCTTCACTTGAACTGGGACTCGATATGATGGATCATGATAAATAATCTCAATACCATCCTTTTCATAAGTTTCAGTACCAGGTGAAATAAAGTTAATCGGCGTTCTTGCAATTGGAGGTCGGGCTACATTGGTTGGAGGTGCTGCAGGTGCAGCCTTGCGGGTCGGTGGAACAAACTCAAAGTTTGGGATCTCCGTTGATGCATTAGTTCCGGCTGTGATGGTCATGGCGGCAGTTTCAACAATCGGGCTTGGACGAACCTGAGCAAATTGGGAATCGAGCATACTTTGCAGTTTCAGATTGTGTTGCATCTGGGCTTGTACCATGTGTTCAAGCTGTGTAATGCGTTCATTCTGAACCCTTCTCTCTTCCTCAGCTGCTCTTCTCAACTCAAGGATCTCTTGCTCCTTACTTGATAGTGATTGTCGATGGTTAGCATCAATGACACGTTGATATGCCTGAATTTTCTCATTCATCTGAGCTTCACGGAACCTTACATGTTCATGCGCCTCATGCTGTAAGTTCTCTTTATATTGGGCACCCGCATTTAAAAGTTCTTGTTCTTTGATTCTGATAGCATCAAGGGCCCTCTGACTTTCAATGCCCTCGCGGACTCGCAGAGCTTCCTTCAACTCCTCAGTCTTGGCTGTGTGGACGGCTTCGGCCTGAGCTTCGGTGTGAGCCAACACCTCACGATGGCGGAGCTCGGCCGCTGTTTCCACAAGGCTTGTCATTGCAGAATCATGTGAATGGACATGCAAGTTCTGCTCGACAAAATTCACTTGAGGATTATCCATTTGCACATTGTGATGGGAAGTGTTATGAACATTCATTTGGTTCAACTGGCGAGTCGGCGGCCCACCCTCCCGAGCGGCTTGGGGAACATAACCACGGTGGTTGAAACCCACATGGGAAGGCACAATTGCGTTACCCATGGGTGGGAGGTGGCGACGTTCCCTTAAGCTTCGTGACTTATCGGAAGATGGTGGGGTGCTTATATCAAAATTAAAAGGGGTGTTACTTATAGGCAAGTTACCGGGGTTGGCCATGGCGGCGTCAGAGGACATGCGCCCGGTGCCCTCGGTGGAAGAACCCGAGGGGGCAGACATTGCCTACAAAAGAGAAGTTAGCTTACGGCTGATAACCTGTTTGACAGGTTAAACAACCTGAATGCATCAGCAAACACGCTTGTTTTGCTTGAGCCATAACAACACAGGTATAAGAGTAATATACAATGTATGTACAGTGAGACTCCTAAACAACATAAGTAACTAAGCCCATAGGATCCATGTATGGTATATATGCTAACATTTGGGGTATATGGATGGTAAATGTTACCATATATAGCATACATGGATCCTATGGGAAGGATCATTAGTACAAATCAAATATTCAGGATTAATCATATTTAAATATATATGTTCACAAATCATAGTTGGTGATATCACTCACCACACATGATGAATTCGTGATCATACAAGATTGCATCCTCAAGCTTATCAATTGGTTTATACACAGATCGAATATTGTATAAGAATGCACTGTATAAGAATTTGAAGGGCTAGGATCCAATGCGGGCTACATATTTTCAGATATAGCAAGGACATAGAATAGGATTGCCAAATGCATAAAATTATATTTATACGTGAGAAGCTGTGGCCAGGGCCAGGGCAAGAATAGGAAAATCACCAAACCAAAACAACGATGAAGGGTAAATTCTGTCACAATAAGGTTTTCAGGCCTCTGTCTGCGTGCTTGCGAAACCCGCGTGGTGTGATTGTTGTGATTGTGAACAACAGACGAAAGCTGACCAAGAAAAGCACATACTGTACTGGCCAAACCCCAGAGGTCGCGCAAGACAGCATGCCATGAAGGAGCAACCCAGCCCGGGATTCGAGCTCACAAGCTGATTCTCACCCATGTACACATGAT